GTGGTGTTTATAACAAAGTTGTGAATGGTTTTCTAATATTTCTAAAAAGTATAGAACCACCTTGTTGTGAAAGCTAGAACTCAACTTATTGTTGTCTGAAGTTGCATGTCAGATTTTGTCCATGTTTTGGATAGAATTGTTGCTTTGTGTGATTAAGGCCAAATAACTATTGAATTACCTAAAGATGATAATAAGGAAGTTGTAGATAAGTTAATAATATTTCTATAAAGTTAAGGATCATACTTGTTGTATGACTAGAACTCCAGTTATACATTTCTGAAGTTAATGTCAGTTTTCTGTCCTTATCGGTATAGACCTAAGATATTGACATATTTGATCATGTTAACCTACGAATTAGCTTTTGGAATGAATAACAAAGTTTTAGATAATTTAATTAGATTTCCAGAAAGTCTAGGTTCACCCTTATTGGATGCTTATATCTCCAGTTATGGTTAAAACAAGTGACTATTGTGCTGCTGTCCAGATTTCTATACATGTGCTAGGTGATTGCTTTAGCTTGCTCTTGTTTTGGCTAAACATGTTGGTTAGTTTTTGATCGATGCATGTGTGCAATATCTGAACTTAAGTTCACTTGTGTGCTATGCCTAATATTCTTGCTATCCCTCTATAATAGGTTGTGTGATGTTTAGTTAACTAACTCTAGGTGCCAGCCACCCCAGCCCCGGTTCGACGTCGTTCTCTGCAACCAACCGCTGCTCCCGTGCGGCGCTCGGCCTGGCGTGCCGTCCCTCCTCTCCCAGGTGCTGCCCCTCCCCTCCTTGCCCCGCGCCGCCGCGGATCCGCCGCAACGTCGCCAGCCCTGCTGCTTCCAGAAACCTCTCTTCGCTGGCCCAAGTAAAAAAAGCAATGAGTCCCACACCCTCCGCCTCTCCCTCTCGCCCCCCCCTGCGCCCGCCGCAAGAATGGCTGCAGAATCCCGCAGCCTCCCCATCGGCTTCTCCCCACTGTGGTCGTCGTCGCGTCTCGCCGCGCAAGGCGTCATGACCATTTGTGGAGGGCACAGGTCGGGACATCTCTCCGCCGCCTTGCTTCTCCGCATCCCCATCGACGACGACAGCTTTGGCGAGCAGTAGCGCAAGGCCCGTAAGCGGGTGCCCAGGTCCTCTCATGGGACCTTCTTCGTGAAGAACGCCCCACCGTGTATGCCCCCTTATGTTCCCTTGTTGTTGCGCCGAAACCAGAGCGCCCAAACCCTAACCTATGCTTTTTGGCTATTTGTATTCGGATCTATGCCTACTACTAGCTTTGATGTTTTTTGTGCGAATTTACAGATCTTCATTTTCAATAGAGATAGCATCCGCTATCAAACCAACAGTGAATTGTAGGTACTTTACTTACATTAGTTTAGCCGCACTCCTCTACATCTACCAATTACATTCCAAGATAGGACAAATAATAGAAGGCCAAGGTCTCTGACCTGCCAAAGGCATGGGCACAAAGCAGAATGAAAACTGAAACCAAATTTTAGTGGAACAATATTTTTGCTTCTGTAATTTATAAGATAGTATTCCTTTGGGCAATATGAACTCCCAAATGAAATGTACGCAATAAGCAGAGATAGTTGATCTCATCCTTTCGGTGATAAAGGCACTGCCTTCTAAAATTGATGTACCTTCTGATAGGCGGCATCTCCCATTGATGATGCAGATAAAGTACAATTGCTCAAAGGTTAATTCAATTTTCCAGGCAATAATTTTAACAACTTAAATTTTTCAGCATGATGATACCATTTGTTTGCAGGTTCCTTTTAATTTTCCTTAAGTTTAGGTTAATCCCCAACCTATGCAGAGAGTAATCCTGCCTCCAAGCATTCTTGCTACATACTTTTAGTACGCAGATTGCATCTTTAATTTAGTACGTAGATTGCATCTTTAATTCTTTTACTATGTGATTCTAAGGTTTACACACTATGCAATTTGTTGCCTTTCTTTGGAACACATGCATGGTTTTGTGCTTATTTTCTTTCCACCAGTTCTATGATTTCTTATTAACTGCTCCCATCATAGGTAAGCTTGTATTGTTTGGTTGGCTGGTGACTTTTGGCTTGTCAGTTTTAGTTTTTGGGCGATACTGTTGCTAATGAGTCTCAGCTTCTATTGGCAGCATTCTATTAGCTGCAGGTAATTTTAGTAATGTTTTGCACTAATATAGTATGTGGTGGTCATTACTAGCTTTGTTTTATGTGTGCTGTTTCTACATATTTGTGTGGGAAACAAAAGACATATTTTATTTCCTACTATAGATTATAGTTGTTTGTAGGTTGTAGCTATTTTTTATGAATAGGCAATAATATATTTTGTTCCTTTCATGATCCCATAGTTCTTATCCATGTATGCTGTGATGATCTTATTTGTGTAAGTTGTAATTGTAATGTAACAGATTCACTGCTTATCTCTGCGCCTCTCGCTTCAGATGTGTCTGATTCTTTTGGGACTTTCAGATGTGTCTGATTCCTGTAGTGCATCAGTGTTATCCCATGGACTTTCATTTGATTTCCCTGTATTCCATGTGTCTGATTCTTTTGGGACTTTCAGATGCTTATCAGACTCCATCTTATCTTTCTCACCCCAACTGGATCCTGCATTAGACTTGGCATTTGGTCTTCCAATTCCATCTCCAAACATTCCAAGCATTGCTCGATGGTGGCATCACATTGTTATAGGAGGAATCATGATCAGCATTTGTCTTCTTCCGTTTGTAAGTGCTTGTCGCTTGCTCCTCTCATTGGCGTTACCATCGCCTTATTTTTGCCCCCAGCATTTCCCCACGTGTCCGATCTACATTCAAACTCTACCCATTCCGATTCTTTGGGATGCTCCCAATTGCCATGGCCATCATCAAACTTCTTCCTGTGCACCATCACCTCCATCTCCTTTTCTTTTGTCCCATGTATTTTCTCGATTTTTATTTGATGCCTCGGGAGTCTTTGGACGACTTCTCCCAATTATCATCACCTGCACTGAATCCATTTTAGCACCCTTATCAGCCCAAGTATCCATTTCAATTTGGTTGTCCAGACATCTGATTGCCTCGCTTTGTTGGCTTCTCGGTGCCCCAATCGGTGGAATTGTCCTGCACCTTAGCATGCACTTCCCATGAATTATCTTGATCTGCTTGGCTTTGCGTACCGCTCCACCTCCACTACTCCGGCCTCCCCCAATCGGTGGAATATTTTGTGAGTTTTCATTTCCATTTAGGTAGATATAGCAATTTAAGATATTTTGTTCTGCTTTGCTACTTTCTCTCAACTCTCTTGGTGCAACGTGGGGGACTGGTGGTAAATTTCTCTCGATCTCTGGGGAATTGCTCAATGGATGTTCTCGCTAGAGGTAGGTTACAACTTACAAATGGTTCGATTTTATTCTCTCGATCACTAGTGTGCCGAACAGATTAGCACGATCATTTGGTTTCTTTATTACATGAATAGAGGAAAGCATGCTCCTAGTGTTTATAATTGTCCAATTAATAAACTGAAGTCAACTGATATAGAAAGTTTGTGGTATACATACCATGATTTGTATCTTGCTTTATATGTTATTACTTATTAGTTCTTGCTTTATATTAGTCATTGATGAGCCACTATGATCGATTTGTACACTTCTACTAGTGCATACCTTACTTGATTTTGAATTGGCCGACATTGTTCCAACCTTTCGTAGTCCGAGATCGGCACTTGATTTCTCAACTTTTGATGACCCCAACTGTAAAATCAGTAGTAAGAACCAACTGCTTGCACTTGATAAATATGAGCTTATTTTATTGCCATATAACAATCTGATTTGAATATGTATGATTCACTTGCCAGGTGGTTAGCAATGTCAAATGGCCTGTTTAGAAACTTATTTTATTCACTTGCAAGAGTATGTTAGATTGACAATACTACTATGCTTATGTGTCTACATGCCTATCCTGCTGAAATCCCTTATTTCTTAGCAATAATTTGGATGTTTTTTTTTGTGAAATCGCTAATTGGCGTAGCACCTCAAAGTGTGATTCTCTCAACATTTGACTTCAATAGGATGCTCTCTTATTTGTATCATAGTTGTCTTTAGTGTTTTTCTTAGTGTATGGTAGATGTGTTGATACAAGCATTGCTGATATAAACCATGCAGTCTAGTGTTCATGCTGCTGTACTTAGGTTTGCAGTTTGACATCTGGAAGTTAGCTGCCAAGTTACTACCACTTTCGCTTTTTCTTGATTGTTTTCATCCAGCTTTTTAACATTCTTAATACTGTTTGGCGCTGTGTGAAATGGTTGAGTATTTGTGTGCATGCTCCATTTGGTTTACTTCCATTTGCAATGTGTTCTGATGTCCTTATCTATAATGCCATGTCTTCATTTAATAGAGAATGATATAGTGCACTGACCATTTGTCCAAAATCTGAACACTTTTAGGCATGGGAATGAGTTTGCACCTACTGTCGGATTCTTTCTCACTACACACCCATCTGAGGTACTTCTTCCTATTGGCCTGAAGCATGTGTATTGACTGCAGAGAGGTTATTTGTACCGAGTATTCTTTATAGGATTAAAATGCATTCTATTCTTTGAGTTATTGACAGTTCATCACCTGTATGCTAAGGAAAATTGTCCTTTTTTATATATTTGGGATGAACTGTTGAATTGATCAATAAATCTACTAGATTATGACTCGTGTTTCTTTTATGTACCTAACCTAATATGATTGTCGCTCCTTTGAATGAGAGTCTCATACTTTGAAAAATTGGTTTGCTCACTTTTCTTTCTTTTTTAATCTTCTTTAGTTAATTTAATAGTGTACTATTTCTAGACTCATGAATGTATTAGTTGATCTTCAGCAATAATCTAATATATTAAGGTGGCTGCGTGATTTGTTACATTCTTGTTTTATTAGTGTGCTATTGTTGTAGTATGTTTGTTGACAGTCTTCATGTACATATTCCCAATATTGTAGTCGAATGAGCAAAACAGTGGAGAATATTCTCAATCTGAAAACAACATGGTAGAGACTGCGCAAGGGCATGATAAGGAGACTACCCCTGGACCTGTAAAAGCTACCAAGAGGATAAAAAAACTAAAGGCTTCTAAACACAACTTGGGCACCTCAAATTCTGGAGCAATTGAAGGTATGTTGTTGCTAATTTTCTTATTTAACTTACATGTTCTGCATCATTTGTTGGTAAAAGTTCCATGTTGCCATTTCTAATCGGATTCGTTCATTTAATGGCCATTTATTGGCTTTTACTTGTAGCTGATGGGCTCACATTTTTTATTCAGGAGATGCTGATCCTTCTTTATCTTCGTTAAACCACTGCCGCTATGACAACTCACTAAGTTTGTTCTCCCGTTCTCCCCTGTACCAAATGTAAGATGCTATCTTCGCTTGTTTATTTATCATTAGCTTGTTAACAGGTCTGCTGACAAAGAAGTTCGTCAACCTGCTTCAAGGAGCTGAAGATGGGACCCTTGATTTAAACAAAGCAGCTGAGACATGCTTGTTAACAGGTCAGGCTCAGGCTCATGCAGGCAGCGGGCAGGCGGAGGCAGCCTGTCTCATCTATTTTTGACATAAGTGTTGACTATTTGTGTATTATTTGAATGAAACTTTGTTGGTCATGCACAGAAAGTACTGTATGGAAAATATATATTTTAATATGTTGTTGCTACTGTTTTAAAATAATTTTTTTATGTGTTTAACTCTTTTTTCCTGTGAGGCTGGCTACACAGAATTTTTTTTTTAATCTGGGCGAAATAAATTTTTCTGTGAGTTCACCTAAACCGACAGAAAAAACATGTGTTTTTCTGTGCGTTTATTTCTTTTTTCTGCGTGGATTAACACACAGAAAAATTAGTTTTAATCTGGGCGAACGCAATTTTTCTGTGCGTGTAACACCCACAGAAAAATTGTTTCTGACGGCGAACACACAGAATAATTGAATTTTTCTGTCATTATATTTCTGTGGGTATTTTTCTGAGGGTACACCGTCAGAAAAATATTTTTCTGACGGTATTCTCATTTTTCTGTGTATTTTCGCGCACACAGAAAAATGCGAGATTCCAGTAGTGATTTAAACTAATCGATTACGAAAAATTGTCACCGGGAGTGTCGGTTCCCGAACTAGTTGGTACTTAATCTCTGCCGCGACTCAAAGAAACGAATAAGAAGCAAGTTGACAAGTTGCCACATAACATATTTATTGTTTTGACATAAGTTTGAGATAACATAACCAAATAACCACGCAAGTTTCGGATGCCAATATTCATTTGACCTATCAAACAAGGTCGGTGGCGCGGCAGGACCTGCCACGTCAGCGGTCCCCCAGGCCGGCCCTCGCCACGTCAGCCCTGTGCCGCGCCACCATGCATGGCGCGGCACAGGCATTTGGCCGCGCCAGGGCAATAGGCGCGGCCAAAAGTGTTAGTTTAAAAAAAACGACAGTGTTAGATTTAAAATTATATTAAAAAAGGGTTAAAATTAAAAAAAATTCCCCGCTGGCGACGTTCATGCCTGCGCTCTACAGTCACTTCGAAGCGCATGCGACGTCGGTGCGCGACATCATGGACACAGGCTTGAGAAGCCTTCTGCAGCGGCGTTTGACCACCCAAGCTGCTGCTGAACTTGAGCAGCTGGATGCGGGATGCCCTCCTCCTCGACGTCAACTTCAGCGGCACACCTGACAAATGCTCAAGCTTCTTCGAAGATGACTCCCATAAGCTGATCTCCTGAGTGATCTACCGCTCCTCAACTCAAGGTGACCAAGTCTGCCCATCCTTCAAATTCGTTTGGAAAAACTTTGCTCCTCCAAGGGTAAAGTTCTTCGGATGGTTGCTCACCAAGGAGAGGATGCACTGTCGAACGTCCCTTGTCCACAAACACATGTTACAAGAGGCGCAATGTGAGGTCTGCAAAGGAGAAGATGAAACTGCGGACCACATCTTCTCAGGCTGCACTTTCGTCAGGAACTTCTGGGAAACGATCGGGTGGAGGCCGGAAGTGATTGCCAAAGTCACTGAACTATGGAAAACACAACTGCCGCCGAGGGTGCACAAGAAAGCAGCTCACCCCTTGATCATACTCTGCTGTGGGAGATATGGCGATATAGGAACGATGTCGTCTTCAGAGGGCTGGAGCCAAGTGTTGGTCGCCTAATCGCCACTTGCAAGGAGACCGTAGAGGCCGGGAGCTGTAGGATTCCGCGGAAGGAACTCGCGATAGCAAGCAACCGGAGAAACTCGTTCATTATGTAATCTCTCCCCTTCCCAAATTGCTGATTATATTGTAAACTTGTTTGGGCTATGCCCTCCACCCCAGGTAACCGGCATCACTGGAAATGAAATCAGGTAGGCATTATTGTTGATCCCCCGAAGTTGACCTCAGAAAAAAAAAGTCTCCCCATATGCGTACGTAAATGCTGCACAGTGGCTGCACTCAGGATTCCGTCGTGACACGAGTAAAACCGGCCGCCGCGATGCACGGCCTCCTCACGTGTACGACACATGCATGAATTCATGCGTGGGCAATGCATCCATGACGCATGCAGACAAACAGTGTGAGTGTACACCGTTCATGTGAGAGAGTAGTTAAGTTATCATAAACCATGACAGAAACGACAGGCCTTTCCAGCGACGGTGCACCTGCCCGGCCGGCTGGATCATATCGGTCGTTTTGGCCCGCCAACCGCCGCCGGCGCCGTTCGCGTCGGTGGCGATTCCATCCGATGCCGCCGCGCGCGCGCGCATCGTTACTTCATCAGCAATTCTTCGCCCTGCTTTCTTTTAGGATGCTCGATCGCCTGCTAACTAAACATGCATATGTAGCTCTGGACACATGCGTGTTCGTTGTTACCAAATTTGACAACCCTCCCCTCCTACTACGTATACTAACTAGTTCCTTGGTGCACGCATATGCATGTAGAGAGAGCCAAAGAAACAAGTATATGGAGGAAGCTGACAAACCACAACACAACATAATAATATATATAATGGAAACCTAATGATGCATTGATGCCTTGGAATCAAATTTGTCCGTAGTGGAGGACAGGAGGAGGGGCCCTGCTAAACTATTCTTGGATCGATCGATGGACGGTTCTCAACAATTTACTAGTCCTATACTGCTATACATTATCAACTCATCAGCTCATGATTATTGTAAAATCTGCTTCCAGAACGCTGCTGCAATGATTCATCAATGCTAGAGCTAGCTAGGTGACTAATTTCGACACTGTACTGTACTGCTGCCTCCAATTATTACTTGAAGGGGAGCCCACCGGGTTCTGTCTGCATTTTGGTGACATCATGCATGCCGATTGTTTAGGCATCTCAACGGTTGATTTGCTCCTACATTTTCAACTTTAGGCGCCGGCAAATAACTTTAGACTAGATGCAGTTTCACATTTGATCAGTCGATCTTTCTGTAAAGGTTTGAGGAGGAAGAACGTCTGGTCTGCAGGATACGGTCGGGATTATTGCGTGCTAACTTTTCGCCGGTTGATCGATCAGTGGTGGAAATGTGTGCTTGCTCTGCACCATGCATTACTTCAGTACATGCATATGCCATGACGTTTTACATTTTCTATATTATTAACGCAGAATAATTAAGGTCATTGTCTGATGATGTCTGTGGTTTTCGCTATACAAAGGTGAAGTAGTGTAGTTGCGTGTACCACATGATATTCCAAGGCCCCCTTATTAACTAATGATAAAATGGAGATCTTCCAAAGGCTACAATTAACAGAGACTCATGCATGTTAGTGACGAGTGACGACACTGGCATTTACAATGTTTCATTGCAGTAAAGAGAAGTTTAGGAGATCTGATCAGTTCATTTGATTTGTGACCAGATCTAGTCGTAATCAGTCGCCATGAAAATGTCCTAACATAGGGTTATGCTAGCTAAGTGTAGCTTCAGGGAATCAGGGCTAAGATGATAAGTTTTCTCTGCATGCATCCATTTATCTATCTGCGTCGGTGTCGGCAGTTTGATTTCTTCCTGTTTGTCGTCTGCCCAACCGATCGAGACGGTTAGCTAGTTTAGGGTTCTCGCTGCATGCCTCACATGCCATCGATGATTGCTCAACAGTATTTTTCCGATAAGGCATTATCCGTCCATTTGTTTTCTTCCGGTTTACGTGTACCGCTAAACTAAGGCCCGTTTAAGCGAGGGCTTCACTTCACCCAAATTTTTTTTTTTTTTTTCAGCTCCATTTAACAGTTCCACGGTGGAGTGAAGCGGTTTTCAGTAAAACCGTTTGGCAAAATGACTTACTTGTGAGAGCATGTTTTTGGGGTCCGGAGGAGGAGGGAGAAGCCACTTTTTTTTTTTGCTCCATTCCACCCCAAATCATTGTGAGAACATGTTTTAGGAGCTTCACCGGTGAAGCTATTTTTTTTTTACCCGTTTGGCAGAAAACGGCTCCAAACAGACTCCGAATTTGGTGGAGAAGTCCCGCCAAACGGGACCTAATAATAGTTAAGTGAAAAACAGCTACGTTACGTAGGGTCTACTATTTCATTAGGACAGTACAGACAAAACAAAGGAACAGCTAGCTAGCTTCTTCTTGGCTTACAAGGGATCTAGCAATGCATGTCATCAGGGGCGGATCTACTGGGGGGGCTATGAGGGCTCTAGCCCCCTACACCTGGTGCATCAATGGAAATATGGGGAGGGTGAGGGAGAAGAAGAGGTGGAGGAAAGAAGAAAAATGGAGAAAGAGAGGAAGAAGAAGAGGCCAGCCCCTTCAATCACATTGCTCTCGCATCCGCTTGGTGCATGTCATAGACCTGCCGGCCTGTGTTACCCAAAGTATTCTAAACAAGCTTTCAGGCGGTTTTAATTTGAGTTAGGTGACTGAAATCTTGTACTCCCATCAGTGTCATAACTCACACACATCTTGCCACGCTAAGACCACGGAGTATCCTTTATCTAAAAAATAGGATGATACAACACAATAGAAATAGCCTTTAGAACAGGCATATTACGACTGCTCACAAAAAATCGGTTTTGATGGTACCATCATAATCAGTCCACTTGCAATCTAGCTTGACTACATGTCTGGCTGGCCCTGATGAAAGGGTTGTGACTCTACGTTACAACTAGTTCATGTTGGTTGTGGTTCCTCTAGTAATTATCACAATCAGTTTGACACATAAATCGGTTGGGAAGAACGTAGCAGCACAACCGGTTGGCGGCTCCAACATATTTTGGGACAAGACATTGATTACATTAAGATTTACACGGTGTAAGTTGGGAATCAATCTCAAATTTAGATTACATGCATCCATCCACTTGTTTAGATTATTTTGGATATTAAAATGACTACTATCAGTGGCATCTCAAATTATTAATAAAAACAAATATGAGTGCTCATAAGTTAATTTTGATATATAAACTGAAGTTGGACCCTTGAAAGCATTAAAAATGGCCCGACATGGGTGGTGAATTAGACTAAAAAAATAATTACATTTTTGTTTCAATGACAGCGCTTAAACTTGGTACCAATGGGATGCTAGAGCCTGAGATTATAGGACCGCAATAGCATCTAGCCGGCTTTATCGTGAACGAGGTTGT